AACCTCTTAATCTGTTTGCCATCCTTTGACTTCCTTGCCCAGCCCTTGCACATGCCATTCCCCCTACCTGGAATGTTCTCCCTCCTCCCGGCCCCCCACCCCACACTGATTCACTTTTCTGGGCTCACACAAAACCCAGCTCAACCAAGACCAGCTGCTAGGATGTGCTCCACTTGCTCCTCTTTGCTGGCATTTGGGATAACAGGACCAGAAACTGCTTCACTGAAAACAAGAGATGATTTTAACCAACTCCCTCACTTGATAGATGAGAAAACTAAGGTCCAGAGAGATTATGACTTGGTCAAGATCACAGATAGTGAGATTTTTTACATAGTTGACTGGCAAGAAGCTTTTGAGTACCTTGTACATTTGTTTTGTTTCCTCAATAGGGCAGAGGTTGTGTTTTAGCTTTTACATTTAAAGTAATCTGCAGGGCCTCCCTGGTGGTGCAAGGGGTTAAATCTCAGCACTATGAAGCTATCTGCAGCACAAGTTCCATCCCAGGTCAGGGAGCTGACCCACACGGCACAGCAGACCTCTCCTGACTCACCCACTGTTCCCCTCAGTGGTGTATTTCAGTGGATCTCCCTGTTCTGCTCCCCAGTCTGTCTCTGGTGCATCCTCTCACACCCACCCCACACCTCTGGCCTACACCGTAGTTCTTGTATGCATAAATAAATCAATCTTTTTTTTTTTAAGTCATCTCCATCGGTGGGGGAGAGGTGTGCATGCATGTATGCATGTGTGTATGAGTGTGTGCTTTGTGTATCCATGGGTGGAGTAAGCAACTATAATCTTTCTTATGTTAATAGGGTAATAATTCTAGAACTTACTCTGAGGCAAACTTTTGCATGTATTTTTCATATGATCCCAGACCATGCCTGGGGGGTAGGTACTCAAGAGATTGCTCTCTTACAGAGTAGGACATTGAGACTTTCAAAAGCAAGGCAGAGCTGGGCCTAGAAGCCAAGGTCTCCGACGCCCAGCCACAGCCCAGGGTCTAATGCTCTTGGCACCTCTTTTCCAGCTCTCTCCTGATGATCCTGGACTACCTGGAGCAGTCAAGGGCACGACCTCTGCCATCTTGTGCACTTTCTTCATCTTGGGGTTGAGGATACTCTGTCTTTGGCTTCCTGCCCCTCCCCATCCTGTCCCACTGCTTTCTCCTCATGTCCCCCGACGGCACTACTGGCACAGTCACAGACACATGCACTCAGAATGCAGGTGTCTAGGGCAACAGACCACAGGGGAAACCACATCACCTTTGTTGACTCTGGAGGGAGGTAGGGGACGGGGTAGGGGGGTGGGGGGGAGACTTGCTGAGTTCTCTCCACCAACCTCAGTCCCCATCATCATCTCCCCTCCCAAACCTGAGCCCTGAGGACTTATAACTGCCCCATTCTCTTCTTGATTTATGTATTGGATTCTAGCCCAGGAAGACATATTGCTTCTCTCAGATCCTAAACTCATGGATAGGAAACTCCCCCTGTCTGTACCCCAAAGCCATTCAACCCCAACCCTAGCCAGAATACTTAGAAAGTTCCTCTGACTCTGTAACACAATAAAGAAAGGTGATCCCAGGGATGAGACCACATGGCTGGGATAATCCAGGTAGGAAACTTGGCATTGAGAAACCCTCAGAGGTCAGCCAAGACCTCTAGTAACCAGGCTACACTGGGACAGAAGGTCTGGCAGTGGCCGCTCCATTGTTTTTACCTACTAGAAGAAATTGCACAGGCTCAGAATCAGACACACTCAAGATTAAGTCACTTACTGGCTCTGTGGCCTTGGGAAAATCACTCTGATCTGAAGTTTCATTTGCTCCCTACAACAATGGGGAACGTAGTGAGATGTAAGTGAAAGGGCCTTGGATAGCACATGACGCTAAGGTGATGCTCAGTAAATCCTAATCTCCCCCTCCTTTTCTTCTCTCCTTCCCTTCCTTATAGCTGGTGGTCAGTGTCCTCTTATTATATCTGGTCCCATGAAACCCTTTATTTGGCATTGGGGACCTGCCTCCCTTATTAATCGGTAAGTCCCAAACCTTGAGAATTGGTATTTGATGCCTGTTTCAGAAACTGAAATGTGAGACCCAGCTCAAAGGCAGGGAGATGGCTGTCCAGGCCTCCACAGCCCTGGGATAGGAGCACTTTCTGACCAGCTGTGTAGAAAGTGCATGGTAAACACAGGTTAGCGGCGGGGGTGGGGGGGTTTGAACCTTGGTCACATCTAGAAAGCTGGGGCAGGGGTAGACTGAGAGCCCTGAGGTTTAGACCTGATGACTTTCCAGAGCTTTGAATTCCAGCACAATTTTGTCAAACGAGTGAATGCTGAAGAGTTGTGTAACACTGGTCAAGTTTCTAAAGCTTTATGAGCCAACTTTAATCATGAACATAACAGGGATTATGTTAAGAATAAATGACCCAATGCTTGCTAAGGGGCCAGCATAGGACTGTGACATGAAAACTAGTCAAAGGAGGGTAGCTAACTGAGGAAAGGAGAGGAAAAAAAGAAAAGAGAGGGTCAAGAAGGCACAGGACTGCAAATGAAGCCGGGGTAGGGCAGGTGCTTCCAGGCTGTGCACTGGCCAAAGGCTCCAGGAAGGAGCAGGGAGCCCTGGCAGGCCGTAGTGGCTCATTTCTCCTGCTTGCTGTTTACCTGAGCCATCCATAAAAGACTTGACTCAAGACCCTTAAGAAAAGCTTCCCATGGTCACCAAGACAGAGGACAGAGAGGTAACCTGCATTTTTCTGCCTCATGTCTCCCAGCAAGGGACATGTGTCTTAAGACTCTGCCATGGGTGGCAATGGTGGTGACTGAGTGAAAGGAAGGTGGTGGCTGAGTGGCAGAGGAAGGAGGGGCACAGTTTAGCTTCCTCGAAGGAGACTTCACATGCTGTCTCTCTATCCTTTGGGGACAGGAGGCCTAGTTTGTGTGTACAGAAATATTCTGGGGCTGTGGGCACAGAGAGAAGTTGGGGGAGATACCCTCTGCTCAGATGTCTCAGGACTCAGTGATTAGGTCAAAAGAAAATGAAGGCTCACAAACACAAACATGTGAATGATGTGATGTACATGGTGGAAATGAGCAAACAAGGTCCTGAATCAGCCCAGAAAAAAACTGCAGGAGTCCGGGGGCCACTAATAGATAATTGTGGAGCTGGAGGAGCAAGACAGCAGGGGAGCGCCTGGGATTCTGGAGTAATCAGATCTTTTTCTGGAGTTGGTAGCACTGAAGAGGAATTTGGAAGATGGATCTGGTTTGGAAGTGAGGGCTGGAGAGAAAAACCCAGAGGTGGAAGAACATGTCTGTCTTACAGACTCAGCATGGGTCACTTCTGAGAAAAGTGTGTTTCTGGGCGTCTAGTTAGAGAATGATCTTTCAAGGTCATGGGTGCCTTCTATAGTTCCTACCCTCATCTCCTTTCCCATTCAACACATAACCCATGAAAAGCTTTACTTTTATAAGGCACTTAGCACCACAACAATGCACCCACGATTAGGCAGTAGCTGGGCCCAGGAGATGTCCACTCTTGAATCTTCCTCAAATGAAAAAGGAAAATTGGCTTAGTTTGACTAAATGGATGACAGTCAATATATAGTGAAGCACTGAAAATAATGTGGTGGTGGTGGTGAGGGAAGTGTAAGGAAAGGAAAGAAGCCTTTTGGCTTTGGGAAGCTAGACAGGCTTCTGGAGAAGGTGGTATAGAACTTGAGGATCAGGAAGATTTCACCAGGAGGAGAAAGAGACTGGGAGGACATTCATTTTGGGGGGGAACCTGAATAACAAAGGCAAGGGAGTGGGAAAGATGAGTATGGGCAGCAGCCAGAAATCCAGTTTGGCTGAAGTAGCTAGAAAAGCAACTACCACTACCGTTATTGAGCACTAAGTAGCAGAAGGCCCTGGCAGGAGAGAGAAAGAGAAAGGAAGAGAGAAAAGACCCAGAAAGGTGTACTGTATGACAAGTTGTAGGAGGGCTTGAATACCGGGAAAGGTGTTTGTGGGAATAAGGGATAAATTAGCAAGTGCAGAGGGGTTGAATGGGTCTGCTGAATGAGCCTTGAGACAACGAACAGGACGGTAGGCCAGCTGCTCAATATCCCACTTAACAGCAGGCCACAGGCTGGTGAGATGAAAGCTGCGTTTGCAGGAGCAGAGCCTTTGTGGTTAAAGGTTGGACCTTGGCATTACCAACCACTCCCAGACCACCTTGGACTCTGGCTTCCCTCTGCTGTGGCTCTGCCTCAGTTTCTCCTGTAGAAATCAGGAGACTCTGGTTGAAGAGGTGGGATAGGGTCAGAAGGAAGATCTGCCCTGCCTTCCAGTGCCCATACCGCAAACTGCAGTAGAGCCTGACATTTGGGGCTGTGGACATCCTTTTCCCCAGGGTGACAGCGTTTAGGAGCCTGCAGACTGCCAGAGGCGACATGGCTGATGGGCAAGGCTGGGAAGCACAATGAAGAGGTCCTCAGCCCCTGACCCCAGAAGCTGACCTTCTCATCCTGCTAAAAGGAACGGGGGCAGGGAGGGCTGCTGCGAAGCCAGCCCAGAGCTGAGTTTATTAGCTGAGGGAGGGCTGGAGGCGGCTGCATTCCGACTCACAGACTGGAACATTTCTGTGATCCGCTGTAATGCACTGGGAGACACTGGGCACATTGCTGAAGTTTGACTCATGGGGACCGGGAGGGGAAAAGCAGAGGGAGGGTGGGAGGGGAAGAGAGGAAGAGGAGAGGAGGGAAGGAAATCCCTTGAGAAAGTTCTTAAAAAAAAAAAAAAAGAACTTTCAAAATCCGCACCATCCCCACCCCCTTTTTCTTTTAATAGGAACAGGCTGGACCCTTCTGTTCCCCTCTGCAGGCGTGGAGTGGTGGGGGTGGGGGTAGCAGAGGGGGAGGGTTGGGCAGTGATTCAAATCAGATCCTGGAACTTTCCTCAGGCAAGTCGGGCGGGGTGGTGGTGGTGGTGGTGTCCGTCTGGGATTCCTAGCCTGGGACGAGGAACTCCACGCCTGTCCTGCTATCCTACGTGTGGCTGTTGCTGTGGGCTGTGCGCGCATGGACGTGTGAGCACGGGGGTCCTTCCCAGAAGCGTGTCTTTGCAAATGCTCTTGGCCCTGTGTAAACATGGATGCAAACTCGTGTACGCTGTGTATGCAAGGGTGCGTGCGCTCAGGTATCTGGGTTTCCGGGAATTGTGCACGGG